CATTTGAAATATAAAAGTACAATAAGTTAAAAAATGAATTTCAAAAAATTATTGAATTCAATACTCTGTCGCAAAATATTAAATTTCGGTCACAATTACAATAAGAGTTGCAAATTATTAATTTATGGGATACATTTTTTCAAAATATTGAAATTAATTACGATTCGAAAAAAATCGTTAGGAAAAAACATGTCTTTCATATCTTTGCTTAAAATATTAATAATAGGAATTTAAAATCTGGGACACTAAGGTCAAAATTTCTTTAAATTAATGCGATTTGACGTAGAATGACTTGTAAGACAACCAGACTTAAAACTTGAATATTTTGTTTTGAATATTATTACTGTGAACACAAACACGAGTTTTCCTTGTAAGATACCTACTGACCAATACCGTTATGTGTATCAATGTGTCAAAAAATAAATAATTAAATAATTCTTTGTAAATTCAAAACAATAGTGCATGATCACTTTCCTTAATTACAATTACAGAAGATTTTTTAACTCCGAGCTGATCCCTGGTAAATATTTGGCAACAATTGACGTAATTCATGAAATTTGTGAATGAAGCGTACCATTTCAGTTAAATTATCTTCTTCTTGTATAATGAGTGCTATCTTAGTTCTTACTCTACGTACTATCTAAACTTTTTATGCAGATTTATACAAACTTTATATTTGACTCTGATGCGTTTACTGACTTTAAACACCGTACCACAGTGTCGAAATAATAATTTCCTCTAAAGAACAAATCCCTGACATCGCAATAATGTCTACGTCCGATATCACGTCCGATACCACCACTCACCAGGTCAGGTACATTACCGTCTCTCCACGCCGTATACATTCGTTTAAACGTATATTCCACGCCACCTCCCACTGCGTATATTGCCTCCACCCCACGCCTCGCTGTCTCTCGATTCTCCGCCAACTATGCACAAGCCTTACCCCGCACCGAACCTTCAGTATGTCATCACATTGATGTTTCCTCACGACACCTACACATTCAGCAGGACAATGCACCTTCCCTCCACTCACGACAATATATTCTCACCATTCCACCCTATGCACCTTCCTTCCAGTCCCTTCCATTTTCCCGCCCACTTTGATAGAAACTTGTCCTCTGTTCTCCCTAGAGTATTTCAGACGAATTTAATTTATAGAAAATGTGTATTATCTATTTGAACATCTTTATGACCATCACGTTCTTCGACGTTCCAATAAGCCACAAAAAACGTTGTGTGCAAAAAATAATGACAAATGAATCCGCACCCATTAGCGCTGACGTCGTAGTAACGGGAAAAGACAAAATAAGAAGAATAAATGATATATAGAAGCCAGATATTCTTGTACTTTGTAACTTATTTTGAATTTAAATCTAGCAAACTTTGCCCAAAATTAACACATTTTAAAAGCTACGTCTCACAAATTAGCCACACCTTTTAATGATAATTTGAAAGGGTGGAGATCGTTGTCAACAAATTTTCCCTTAAAATTTACTGCCTTATCAAAAAGCAACCCTTAGTCTCACACCGGGTAATGTGCCATTGCTTTAAAATAATAATGTCAAGTGTGGGCATTCCAGCTCCATTGAAAACCCTACCCGACTCCCTTCCAGGAACGTGAAACTACTCCATACGCGCATTCCCGCCAATCCATTTTTCGCTCATTGTCCGCTTCATGTCCCTTCTGTGCATGCCGCGCCACCCAGGCATACCTGCAAGAGACGACCGCCACGCTCACTGCCGCCAAAACGTTCGTATTAAGCCTCGATATATAGCACTGAATAATGTGAAATCTCACTCAGGCTGGGAGAGGGCGGTGGCATCAACTGATGTCACTGCAGTGCCTCTGACCGAGAGGTCATACGTCCGAGTACACTAGCAAGTTTTTTAACATTAGCTACACTGCTAGGTCGAACTTAGCCGTTGTCTAGAGGCCAGCTGGTCTGATAGGTATTTTTACTCGTATTCTCCGATCAACGCCAGGCGAATACTGGAGCAGTACCCTCCTGTCAAGCGCGCGATCTTCCCTTCCTCTCCTTTTTCCTATCCTCGCTCCTTAATTGACAACACACTTACATGCACTAGACTATTACACATGTCGGGAGACGGTTCGTAAGCTTAGAGTTTGTCCTGGCTCGGTCAGTTCTCAGCTTGTGGGAGATACCTGGATGCGGAAATCCCGGTAGCCGACGGTAGGACGGCGCCGGATGTCGCCATCCAGCCGAGGAAGATCACCGTCACTATCCAAGGAAGAAACATGCACCACACTTACGGGACTAATGACCTCATTAGTTGACGCGCTCGGAATCACTAACAACCAACCTACCTCACACGTAGCACAGCAAGTCATCGGAGAAAGCTGATTTACGATGTGAATGGGCTGTTGGAGGTTGCATATCCATCAGACTCAGACATTAGTCTGAGATTGTTCTTATTCCACTCTTCTCTATTTCATAGATATGTCTCGGTACGTTCTCTATAAATAAAATTGATATAAACAATTTTTGGCAGGTAACCCCACCTCGACGAGTCAATTGATTTTATGATTTTTTGCCACTTGCAGATAATGGCGCAAGTTATGGATTAAAATGTCATCTTGAAGGTCAGTTGTGTATCTGATGTGATGGTCCTCTATAGTTCGGATATGCAACCCGCGTTCCACCTTTAGCCGACGGAGCGTACAGGGCTTCCGAGGTTTCATTATTTCGTGTTGCCGGGCGTGTCCTCGTAAGGTCATCCATCCCGTAAGTGTAGTGCATGTTTTTTTTCGCGTGAGGAAACTGTGGTCGACCCGCACTGAATGGCGAGATTCCGGCGCCGACCTATCTGGTGGCTTGAACCACGTTTCTCCCACCAACGGCGCACCGCCCCAGCCGGGACAAGTTCTAAGCTTGCGATTGGTCCCCCGGCATATTGGTAGTTTAGTGCTTTAAGTATGCGTTAATCTGTTTTTTCTTAAAAAACGGAAGTTTTTTTTAATTAAATTATGGTCTCGAATAGCGGTATTTTGTACTTTTAGGAAAACACCGAAACAAAATTGAACTACGTTTCATCCACCTACATCATGTCAACAATGAGATGATGATGATCATGTCAACATAATTCTTAGTAAATCTCATTGCAACTCGCCAGTGCGGAATGGTATTGTCGCATTCAAATTTGACATTTCCTGCAGGGTAGTAACTGGAGCACAAGAAATCAGAATTTGTTAAATTACGCTGTACTAAAGTTTTTTGAAAATGTACAATATATTTTTTAAAGAACTGGTTTTTTGAAGTAGGTTTTCTTAAACAAAAAAAAAAACAACGTAAAATTATGCTTTTGGAATGTCAATTTTGTTGTTTGACATTTCCGAAAATATAGAGTTCACCGAAGATGGAACAAACAATTTCTTTCGTGGTGGTGATTGTTAGCGATTTCAGGCCCATCAACTACTGAGGTCATTAGTCCCATTAGTGTAGAACATGTTTTTTATCGTAACACAATTTATTTCTCTTTCTTGCTACACACGAGGAAATACACGCAGAAAAAATAATTTTTTGGAATATAATTGTTAAAAAGTGACAATATTACCTAAACCGGTACAAATATATGGTACTCAGTATTTTTCAGTTTTTATTTCATATTACATTTACACCATACTTTTAAAATATGAAATCTTATTGGGCTAATTTCAATTAAGGTTTGCCGATTACTTAAAATAAAATACATCAACACACTGAGAATACAAGTACGATTACATTCCACACAACACGGACAAAAAATATGGTTTATCAAATATGTTGCGTGGAGATAGATGCAACGTGCCTCCGAATCAGGAATGTTTACGTCATTTCTAAAGGATTAATTTGTATACGTGTAACAAGAGATTGAATTCAATGAACAAATAAATATGAAATATTATACAAATTTTAACTTACGTAGCATCTATCCGCCTTCAAGCACTCTTCAAGCAGCGAGCAAGCATGAAGCGCGGGAAATTCGAAGTAGGCGACTATGTTTTAAGTCACATACAAAAGACACTTAACTCGAAAAAATTAAGATGAACTTATTTAAAGGTCTGTTTTTAATGAAATTCAATTAGGAAAAATGTATCTTCATAATATTTTAGTTGTAGAAAAATGACGAAATTTTTTTTTTTCAGTTTTCGAAAATTCAGGGATTTCCAGAAGGTACAAATTTTAGCCCGTGCATATTTCATGTATATAAAAACATATAAAACACACGTGAAATCTAATAAATGTACTCGTATGGATTATTCAGTATTTTTTCTCAAAATGTTTTTCTTCCTTACTTATTTCCAATATATTTCTGTCTTCCTTGATTTTGTGATGTCCCTCTCAACATCTATCTACATCCTCTGGAATAAGTGATATACTGCCATAAGATACCACACTGAAATCTTCAAAATATTTTATCAAGGGGCGTTTCGTACATGTATTGACTTGTGTACATTGGTATTATGTACCTTTGTTTAAATATGACCATTGTTTAACATATTTGTTTTGACATTTTAGCGTGAAGATTGAAAATATTTTTTTTCCGAACATTGCTATTGATATTATGTATGACAATCAGTATTTTACCAACACACGTCATATCAGTCTTGATCGTCATTTTTGATGAACGTCAAAAAATTGACGCATCGTTACGTTTCAACAACACTTTCCTTTAAAAATGACGCATTGTTATCTGCACCGCTTCGTCAAGAAAGGCGGTGATTTATTCTCTTCGAGAGAGTTTGGATACAATGTCAAGTTTTAACGCGGTTCCGTATTGGCTTTTGACTTTGTTGACCTGTTGATTGCCGATGAAGTGTGAGCTATTAGATACCTAGTTGGTTGGTACAAGATAAGAATCCGCATTTGCACAATTATGAAGTACAAATTTCGATTTCTGAGTCTCTTATTCAATTCCTCCAGGGACAAAATTAGCACATGTGCGCAATCTATAATCTGTTTCTCTTAGCTATTCTAATAAAAATCTCACCTTATTTGTTATTCTTCGGCACCACTTAGACTAACTTCTACTGTAGATGTAGAGAATGATGTGAGCTGTGGATGACAAAATTCCATTGCAGTAGCCGGAGGAAATGTCCTGCAGCATAAAATCATAAATTGATCTATTACTCGGCATGGGCGTTTGATTCTGCAACTTAATTCGGTTTCAGGGATATTCCAGACACTGTTTCATTTCTTCTAAATTCTTCCGGAACACCATCGACATCCTCTCGTTACGAATGTATTTTCCGATTCATAAAAAAGGTATATGTTTTGGAATAATTACTTGTTCTAGTAGAACCATGGTTTGAAAATATTCAAATTTTAATCATCAAAATTATCGCATGTTATTACAACCACCCCACATTAACATTTTGACGATTCTCAGACAAAATGACCTTGGCAAAACGTAAATAAGGCATTTGATACGCCATCAATTGTTTGGCGACCGTTAAAGCTACTGAATAGCGTTGGTGAAACTGGCCGAATATATTTCAATCATTTTATTTTAAACAAGTTTCTGTATTTAAAATAAACTACTAAATATATTCTGACAAAGTTGAACAATCTTTATACGGAAAGGAAAAAATAATGATTAATTATTAAAGCTCAGAAAAACTGAACTTTACAATGTCAGTGATTAATAAATACTTTCACTAACAGTGTACTAAAACAAGAGTGGATACAAATTATATTTTGAATTATTCCGGAGGATAAACCCTGTTATAACGAGCAATCAATCCAAAAACAATACTGCGAGAACTTAAGCCTGCGCTTCATTCGTTTAAACGTTCGCCACAATAATGTGAACTTCCACTTCTAAGACAGTTGTATTAATTCACTGGCTGGGTGGCTTACAACTGTGTAATTAAATGCATGTTTATTTTGATTAGTACGTTTTTTGAACGATGGAATGAAGTAATGTGGGCAGAGTGAGGGTATTAGTTATGAAATCGGCCACTAGATTTTATGAAGCAATGCCAATCTCTGGAGAATCAGTCACACCTTCGTAACGTTCTTAATAATTTGCGTTCAAACTTTATCGGAAGTTCGAGGTATGTACTGTGATTGATCCGTACGTGCTTCGGTCATCTTTGTAGATTTTTGGAGAAAATAACTGATAGAAGTTCTCGTCTTCAAAAGAAAATTGTTTCTATTTCTCGCCGGTGAAGATGTGTTTGGAATGTTGTCATCAGTATTCGCTGCGAGCTTTTGCCTTCATCTTTTTATTGTGCCAGAGAGAGGGAAGCAAGGTCATCGTTCAAGAAAGTTGCGCGAGTAATAGATCTTGTCTATTGAAGGTTAAGTACGGAGAACGGTTCACGTACTGACAATGATAACAAATGCAAACTAAATCACAATAGTGCGAATATAACAGTTACCACGAACACGACCAACATAACTACACCGTAATTTTAATTGGGGAACCTTAAATAGAATATATCGACAAAGTGCGCAAACAATACCTTTAAAAATTGTAAAATGAAACTTGTTTAAATTATTAAATGAGACCAAACTCAATTAAAATTAAATTGATTCCATGTTCCACATTGATAATCCAAAAGATCACGAAACAGAAAAAGCTAAAGCAACTTTAATGCATGATAATTAATACTTGAGAAAAATAATTTTTCCCGCTGCACAAAAATGTGTCTGTGCCGTATGACATGCGTACATAAAACGTGACAAGAATTTCAACTTGGATTGTGTGGATACCCCAAATAACTTACTTTCAGTTTACTACTTCTCCGCGTGAATTTGCGATAGCACAAAAGTATCATGAAAATTATATTTATTTCTCTAAAGAAGCAAAACCGATAAAATATCAGACTTTTACAATCTGAATTCAAAATCAGAAAAATTGTACATCTATTCTACATCAAATTTTTCAAGAGTAATAATTTTCATGGATTTAAAAAAAACAAAAATGCAGGCGCAGACACCTCTCCTTCTCGCAGAAATCAAAATCTATAAAATTTTATATCAATTCTACATCGAATTGTTCTGAAAATAATAATTTTCATGGTTTTAAAAAAACAAATGCAGGCGCAGAAACCTCTCCACCTCGCAAAAAAAAATTGGATCAAGGACTTGGAACAAAGACTCATACAAACATGACCAATGTTTCCGCGTGGAAGTCTTCTTAGCTGACCAGTCCGTACAGCGCCAAGGAGGGGGGACGTGGCTTGTTGAGTCGCGAGTAACGTAGCCTTGAAAGCAAGGTGACAAAGGAATGTTTACGCACACAGGTAAACCCACGAGCTCCTGGCAGAGTCACAGCTATTTCCACAGATTCCATTCGATTGCAATGAAAGCAGTGCAATTTAATGTTTACTTTTTGCTGCGTTTAATTTGTTTTTCTATTCAGGATTATTCTAAGTTTCTGACGCTTAGAACCAACATTTTTTTATTGCAAGATTCAGTTTCCGATCATTGTTTTCTCATTAATAACTGAAATTGATTAAGTGATGCGCAGTTAAATAATGATGCCTGATGGTTATGGTAATTATATATGATCGGAAGGGCTAATGTAAAGGACTGACGCACTACGACGCAAAACGTGCAGACGAAATATATAGTTCAGATCAAAGCAATAAAACTCGGTGTTACTAGGAAAAATGAATATATATTTAGAATAAATCAATTATTTAAATATAAATTTCAAATTTCATGAAGTTACTCCTTCACGTCATTAAATTAAGAGATCAAAAGCCCAAAAGGTCAGTTTTTATTCCAGTATATAATTGTATCTATGAAGGCAGTTCTTCTAGGGTATGTTGCGTATGCAAACGCACAGTATTTCGAGATAAATGCCTTAAGTATTGGAGATGTAGTAATATAGTAAAATGATCACTGTACAATCATTTAATGAAAATGAGAAAATTATATTACATCAAAAATGTAGGAACAGATGCGGGTCCGAGGTCTGAAATAATTTTCAGGGAATGTCAATTTCGTTACTTCTCTTAATCCATAAATGTAAAGGTCTTTTAATACAGGCTAAGTAAGTATAGTGAGTTACACCGTTATACGAATTATAAGAAATAGTAACTCCTCTTGCGCAAAGATTTGTTAAGCATTCGTTTGGCAAAATTTACTTGATATTTCACTATGCTCGTGTTCACTCTTGCACTTGCCTGTCAGCCAAAGCAATTGCGTGGAGTTAAATTTGTTTGTCGTTGGTAGGAGTTTGCATCCCCAGGACGTTGTATGCCTTCAACGCTTGCTCTACCTTGCAAATTCATTGGCTTCTCACAGTCTCAGAGGAGGCGCTATCCTACCGTATCTTTCGTTTTTTACTTGCATGTGAAAGGATCGAATATCATTAAATTCATTTGTATCCATTACTTACACACAAGCCAAGGTTTACAAGTAACTGTTTAAAAATAATTTAGCGTTCTATGACCCCTATGAAATTTTAATCTACAATAATGAACCTTTAAATTCCGACACAAATGTCGCCGTTATCTTAGAATGTTAAAGATGTTACTTCTCTAACCACCCACCTGAACTGGAAGGAAATTATAAAATCTTCAATAATAAATATGACGCATTACTTACAAAACGTGCCTTAAAACACCTTTTTGAACGGAGGTTTCATCTTCAGAGCATAATCACTAAAAAAGTTTAAAGAAATTGCTGCATCGCGAATTGAAAGCACTACTTGTTAGAAATTCGGTCTCAAAAAATCGAATCATTTCATATGCCCACCACATACACCGACATTTGATCAGGAAACTTCATGACTTACCTTGATCAGTGACTTATCTTGATCAAACCTCCTTTTAGTGCGGAGCGCAGCGAGTCCTTAAGTGGCGTTCTAAGGATTTGCACCCTCAGCAAAAATTGGCCATTTTATACTTCACTGCTAAAGTTCAATATACAAGATAATTCTATTAAATTTGTCAATAAGAGTAATTTATTTTCCTAATAAAAGTTTATAAACTACAGATTGCAAGATAATATTTTAGCACTAAATGAATAAATATATTTTTTATAAATCTAACCTTTAAAACAGTTTCCACACGAAACTGCTCGCACGAATACACTTCGTAGCCATCTCTACCATACAGTACCTGCAAATATTGCAGAATGCTGCAGAAGGTTGCTCCTTTACTATTGCCCTTCGTTTCCATTTTCGTTCTTCAGGCATTCCAATTTGCCGTCTTCCAAGTGACCTTGCGGTTCGGCAAAACACTCGTTAGGAGTATGTTTATAGAGCCCTCCTTCCCCTGTAGGCCTATGGCTCAACGTTACGAAGATAACAAGAAATAAAATTGTCACATTCTTAGACAAAAAATTCGCTACAAAATTATAAAAAAATAATTATTATATCACATATTCATTGAAGTCCTAAAAAGCTTTGTACGAAGAAAAAAGAAATGGCAACCCATAATCTCTAATTTTTGTTTCACCAAAACAACGCAGAATTTTTGAAATTAAAATGACGAAATGAAAATATTTTGAGTAGTGAGCAAAATGGTTACAAGAAACTCATGGCCACAAACAACTCTGAGAAAATAAGTTTACACAAACAATGCTTAGAATAAACAAATTTTAATAATAAATTAATACAATAAAACACATTTTCTAATAATTGAAATCTTTGATGTTTACCATCACACAACAATTTTAGACTTCTCACAAAGAGTTTGTAGTATTTCGATAAAAACCGATTCTGAAATAAAGAACAACCTGTAAACGAAAAGTATATTCACAGAACCTAGATAAAACGAATCACTAACATATATTTTCCATTCCATTCAGTTTAAATTTCTACTAAAGTAGTTGACGTAGCACTGAAAAATCTGTAGATTATTTGTCAATTCACACTTCCTGTAAAGATACTAAAAACAATTCTGCATTGAAGATTTCAATTAATAACGTACCATAACATAATTTATAACAAAATACGAATCGGAATCACTCCATTTTGATATTTCCCACAATATTTTACTGTGACGAATTTCACACAAAATTTAATTCAGAAATAACGTAGAAAAAACAACGTTTCATCAGAACTGCTGCAGTAATAATTTAAACCAAATCCTAGGAGTAATGTACAATACTTTCTCGAATGACCTTTTCAAATAGATCATAAAAAATAAACGTATATAGCATTATTAGACTACTAATACATTGGCATATACTACGTACAAGCAATAAATTTGATGTACTAAAACACTTGCTGGTAAAACCTTGCTATAAAAAGAAACTGATTTCCATACTAATTCCAGAAAAATATATTAAAACCCTAAAACTTAATATATGACCTTAAAGCGCGTACACAATTTCCACAGTATTTTCATGTGTAAAATTCTAATAAATACACCAAAAAACAGGAATTAATTTGGCATGTCTTTAATCAATGTTGTGCACTGTAAAGTAAAACAAGTTGCCATAAAAAGTAAAAGATTGTTATAAACATGGTGAAAAAACTTATAATTTACCATAAAATTAAAAAAAATACTCAGTCATTTTATAGCAGTCATATTACTGCAGATTTTACCTTCACACATGGCAGATAGTATAGCATCAGATATCAAACGTATCAACCTTCAACGAAGTAGTCCAAAATTGGCAAAACAGATAAAACCATTACAATGTAAATTTCACATCCTTCAATTTTGCTGGTTTAAAGAACGCTGAGTCAATAAAAATAACCATTATTTAACAGATCATGAATACACAAAACACTGATAAACTCCATTAAGTGTGCTCAACTGTAATTATTCGAGCACACCTACACTAAAAAAAAGAACTTCAAAATTAAGTTGAGGACTTTCCAATATTCAAATTTAAATAGTTTTGTCAAATAGGAATGAATAAACTCAAAACTAAGATTCCCTCAAACATAAAAGGAAAAAATTAAAATCCATTAATGACGAAACATAAATTATACCATAAAATACACACCAAAGAACATACTTCATTATACCTTTCAATCATAAGTCCACTGAATCTATTTGGTCAATATATTTCAAACACATCATCTGAAACTTAAAACTAGGCACTAAAATTCAGTTAAATATACAACATTAAGATAATAACAATGTACTGAAAAAGGCGGAAATACGTCCATTTGCATCAAACAGACGATAAAACAAGCTGTCATATTTATCTGAAACATTTTATGACCATTTTACACAAATTCATTTAAAATTATTAAAATCAAGTTTACGAAAGCTTAAAATTGATATTTATCCGAACGTAACAATATTGTCAACCCAAATACTTTTAAAAAATACAACAATACTCACTGGAAAAAATCTACAAATTAAATAAATTTATATTCAACCACATATAAACAAACGCATAAACTTTTCCACACCAATTCATGTCATATCATTAAACGTGCAAATCAATTCCCTGCAAAAAACACAATTTGACATCCACAACATGCAACAATTTGAACAAAACACATTCAATCCAATTTTAAACCACCTATTCACAAATATTACTCCATCGCAGCAAAATCATACCCAAAACAACCAAAACCTCCCACGCTCCAATAAAAACATGCGACACACAAGGCACGCAATGCCTACACTCCCTCCCATCAACACACCACAAACACGCACACAATGCCCTAACTACACCCATCGCCATACACAACACACAAAGCACAAAATACCCACCCTCCCTCCCATCAAAACATACCACACACACAAGCCACACAATCCCGCCCTCCCTCCCATCAAAACATACAACACACACAGGCACACAATACCACCACTCCCTCCCATCATAACATTACAACACACACAAGGCACACAACCCTGCCGCTCCTTCCATCAAAAAATACAACACACACAAGGCACACAATGACCACCCTCCTCCCAATCAAAACATACAACACACAAGGCAACACAATTCCCCGCCCTCCCCTCCCTCAAAACATTACAACACACACAAGGCACACAATAACACCCTCCCTACCATCATAACGATACAACACAACAAGGCAACAATACCCGCCCTCTCCACACAAACATACAACCACACAAGGCAACCAATACCACCCTCCCCATCATAACTAAAAACACCCATGGCCACACAATACCACACCTCCTCCGAATCAAAACTACAAACCCACATGGCACGCATACCACCCCCTCTCATCGAAACATACGAACACACAAGGGCACACAATACCCACCTCCCTCGCATCACAACATACAACACACACAAGGCACACAATCCCCGCCCCTCGCCTCCCATCAAAACATACAACACACACAGGGCACAACAATACGCCACCGCTCCCATCATTTTAAAAAAACTCTTAATACAAACTGTTTAATCAAAAACCCTGTCCTACTTCTTATCGATTCTTGGCCACAATCTTTTAGATTGTCACCCAAACGGTCCTCAAATTCAATTCCCTCCTCTTTCCG